TTCCTAATCATTTATTATTCAGCCCAGAATTTTAAAGAGGTTTTGTTTGTTCATTTAGTTTTGAGTACAGGGGTACAAGGGCCATTACTATTTTAATCAATTGTTCAAATCCACTTTGGCAAAACATTCTCATGACTGTACCTGAATCTTTTCTTCTTGGCAGTTCTCAGGGGTACATTATCTATTGTCACCATGTCTTCCATCTAAAATAGTAATCATAATAATAACAAAGGAAAATTTTAAGTTCATATTTAAAATCCTTAAGCTGATAACCTCTTTACTGATTTTTAACTTCTGATCTAAGCACTGTTCTTGCTGTACACCATATTCAAAACAAGTTCCCTAACCTGCTTTCCAAATTGTCTTCATTGCCCTTTCACTTGAAAAACTCAATCCTAGTAATTTTGGAAATGCCAAACTGAATAGTCAATCAGATCTTTTATGCTAAATTTTAACCCAAAGCATTTTAAATTTCTAAACATACTTGGCTCAAAAGAGTGCAACTGGGTGGATGTAAGTGCTGGTATTTCTACTGCTGCAAAATAAAAAGGAGATTTAATTTAATGACCAGCATGAAGCTGATGGGTAGTTTCTTTTACTTTCAATAAATGACTAGTAAGAGACCAAATTTTATCAAGGACAAAATTATCTCTTATCTGTAGTGTATATTCTCTATTAAGTATTAAATATTTTGCATGTATTTCACATGTACGACTTACTTTGTGAAAGACAAAAGTTCCATGTGGAATACAAATATAGAACACAAGTAGAGATGCGTGCTCCAAGTTAGGCGATCAGTGAAGATTCAGAAGGAGCCTTTGGTTCACTACTGTTGTCCTAACCCTTGTTTACATTAAAGCTAGTGGTTGTGCTTTTGTGTAATGACACATCCCAACGTGAATGTTCAAACGAAAGTTTGTCATCGTCCTTTCTTAAGAAATGTTGTCATGATCATGCCTTACAGAAATTTACTGCAAGCTGCACATTGTTTAAAAGTGATTTCTTGGATTTTTGTGTTTCCTGACTTATTTTCCTAGACTGATCCCGTTGAGAACACATATTTACGGAACTCGAGCGTCAAGTTTCACATCCAGTCAAGGTCCACATCTCCTTCCACATCTAGTGAAGCTGAGCCAGTTAAGGTGCCTCATTGGAGCAGCCTTGCTCCCCAACTTTTCACTGTGTCAGGAAAGAGTGAATCGAGAAAAACAAGTGAAATCTGTCTTCTTTTAGTCAAATATGTTGTGTAGTAAGTTAGTCTGTTGAAATCACTACATTTAACTGATAATGTAGATAGAAGTAGAAAACTAAAGTAGAAAAATTGTCCCCAAATATTCAACCTGAAATAGACAAAAAAATATAAAGGCAGTCTTTATTTTAATTAGAGAACTGCGTAGAACAGAGGATAGAGTTATGTGAATTTTGGAATTATCATATACAAACTTTTTAGGCACTTGGCAGTACAGATGTCATTCTCATATTTTAATTCTTCTAATAAATTTAATAAGCCATGATATAATTACTCTGTGACATCATAAATAGAGCTAAAAAAATAAAATTGCCACTATTGGCAACTGAATAGTTTAACTGCTAAATCAATAACTGGCATTCAACTAAATCACGCCTTTTAATAATTTAAAAAGCTATGTTGTGTTTGCACTTCATATCAATCAATTGGTCAGTTTTCTCAAGAGAGATCATTTCCTCCACAACTCAGAGGAATGTTGCACCTCAATTCATGCCATCTCGCTTCAAGGTGCGGTTCTGGTTCTTCACTCAGCATCACAGTTCAGACAGAGGTCCTCTGCTTTCATTTTTTGATCTCCAGAACTGTGTCTGACATTCCAATGGAAGCAGATAGTTCAATTTGAAAAGCTGTCTGAAATGAAATATGAGTTTTAGTCAGATTCTGACTTGTTTTTTCCAACCCTGTGATGGACTCTTTCAAATGGACTAAGTTAATGAGACCCTCTGGTTTTTAAATTATAATTGTCATAATATTTTGGCTTTATACATTTTATATTTCGATGAAGTATTTCAAGCATACAGAGAGTATGATATACACCCATGTAACCATCACCCACAGATTTAACAGATATGAACATTTTTCCTTTTTTTTTCAGATTTTTATTCAAAGAAAATATTCCAGAAACATTTGAAACAGCTTCCTATGTACCATTCCCCTCTCTACTTTTCCAGACATATCTAGCTATCCTAAAGCTGATGTTCATCTTCCCTTCCTTGATTTTACATGTTTGTTTCATTTATATCCATAAATGATGCATTATCCGTAAATGATATGTGGTGATGCTTATCATTTATTTAAAATTTACACAAATGTTACCTGTATCCTTCTGTAACTTTTTGCACTCAAAAGTATGATTTTGAGATTTATTCATACAGATACATGTTCATTAAGTTCATGCATAATAACTGCTGCATAATCTTAAATTTTATGAATATACCACAACTATTTATCCATTCTCCTATGGTTGGATATTTAGGTTTCCAATTTTTTGTAATTGCAATCAATGCTGAAGTGGATACCCTACTTTTGCAAATGTGTAGAGTTAGTTTAGCATATATACTTAGAAGTGGAATTACTGGGTTAGGTGATATATGCATCCTCAACTTTAACCGAATCTTGCCAAATTGTTTTTGCAGTGGTTGGACCAATTTACACTCTGACCAGCAGTGTATAAGAGTTCCCCCTTTTCCCCACATCCTTGCTAACCCTTGGTATTGCCAGACATTAAATTTTGCCAATTTGATGGATATGAAGTGAAATTTTTGTTTTAACTTGCATTTCTAGTGTTATTCAGCATCTTTTTATATGTTTATTGATGATTGATGATTTGCCTGTTCATGTCCTTTGTCCATTGTTCTATTGAATTATTTTTCCTCTGGTTTAAGTGTTCTTTATATATTCTGGATGCTAATTCTTTGCTAGCTATATGCATTGCAAATATTTTCTCCCAGTCTGTGGCTTATTTTTAAATTTTATTTTTGGTATCTTTTTGTCTCGTGAAAGTTTTGACTTTAAAGTAGTCAGATTTATCAATCTTTTCCTTCATGACATGTGCTTTTTTATGTCTTTTTAAAGCAGTTCTTCCCTATGCAGAAATTATAAAGATTTTCTTCCATATTTTCTTCTAAAAGTTTTTAAGTTTTTGTTTTTACATATTTAGGACCTTAATCAAACTGAAATGTATTTTATATATAATGGGAAATGGAGTTCTAATCTCCTTTTCCCATATAGACAACTGACGCACCCCCTTCCCCCTTGATTTGTTCTGCTGTCTCTGCTTTATATGCATGGGTCTGCTTGGGAGTTCTCTATTCTCTTCCATTGTTCTGTTTATTCCTGCACTGACACCAAATTGTCTTAATTGCTATAGCTCTGAAATAATTCCTGATACCTGATGTGGTGAGCCACCCCGACCCACCTTATTCTTCTTCCATTTCTTCTTGACCCTTTATTTTTCAATTACTTTTAGGGTCAGCTTATCAAATTCCTTGTGGGGCTTTTGATTGGAATTGCATTGAATTTATAGATTTATTTGAGAATTGACATGTTCATGATATTGGGTATTTCCATCTGTGAACATGGTGTACATATTAGTTAGGCATTTTACAATCTTTGGTAAAGTTTTATTATTTTCAATATATTCCATATTGCTTGGTAAATTTGCCCCTAGGTACCTTCAATTTTTTGTTGCTATGGTGAGTGGGATCCTTTCAGAATATATTTTCTTATTAGGCATTGCGCGTCTTTATAAACTCTGTTGATCTTGTATCCAGCACCTTTGCTTGACTCTTTTTAATTCTTAGAACTTCTCTTGGACTTTCTATGTAAATTCTAATGAAAATTTTGTTTCTTATTATTTTTTGTTAACTTTAATATAACTTTTCATTGTTCTCTTTTATCTTTCATATTTATCTTTTCAAATGTTAAATTATAAATTGAATATAAAACTTTTTCAAGCTGTTTAAAAGTAAATAAAATTTAAATTAGAACTAAACTCACAATTAAACAGAAAACTCTGAAAAACTCAACTGAATTCCATTTTAAGACTATAGTGCATATAAAATATTCTAATTTTGGTGACGATACAGTAACAAAGGCAAAAGGAGACCATCTGTTTTTCTCTTAATGCTTTAAAATATTCTGTAACCTTGAACAAGGACTTTTTCCTCTTACTTTCTTGCTTAGTGTGCTAAAATGCAGTTATTCTTCATGTCTTTTTTTATACTTTGCTAATTAAGCAATGGCTCTTTTTGCCCACAATAACATCCAATGAAATCACTGGTTCCTTTCATTAAAAGAAAAATCTTACAATAATACCCCATAAAAGAATATTGTATTTTACAAAGCTAACTAATAAAGATACGGTTGTTAACTAAATTTGTATTAAGTTGAAAATTCCAAAAATATTAAATAATCTCACTCCTTTCTTTGGAAATTAATTTCTGCATAAAAATCCCACTAATCTCAGTCTTTGTAGCTATGTATTCAAATCCACAGAGCTGTGTTCTATATATATATGTTCTATATATGGAAGTTGAGTGGTTAAAATAACTTTCTATTTTTGCTATAAATCTTGCTAAAAACTCTTTCAGATACTTTTTGGGATTAATATGGAAAATTTAGATCAATGTGAAAATTAATATTCTCATTTTTATGTAGGCTACATGCTATAGCTTTTTTGGGTTTTCTTCCATGGATTTTCTTTTCCAAATTATTTATTTTTACTAAATAAATTTACAAACTTAAATAACTTTTAGTAAGTGAACAAATATTTCATTTGTAGATATTGCAGTCAGAAATTTAAATTAGTAACACTGTGAGAATTTTAGCTTTATTGAGTTTTTTAATTAGTAGAACTTTTTGCCTTATTTGTGTTTTGTTTGGTTTTATTTACTTTCATATTTTTCGAGTTATATTTGAAATAGATGGAGCGTTTCATGACATTTTTTTCCTTTTTTGCCCCTGGGTTCAGATTGTAGACTCTACTCCACTTCCAGTTCACACACCAACCTTAAGGAAAAAGGGATGTCCTGGTTCAACTGGCTTTCCACCTAAGGTACTCAAACTAGTTACAAAGCATAGTGTATTCCAAAAAAAAAAATAAGAATGGATTTCTTCTGCTTTGCATATTTCCTTTGATTTTTTGATATTGATTTCTTCAAAGTTACAAACATAAAAGCTTGGAAAGAAAATAAATTCTGTATGAATGGAAATAATTACCACTGGAGAAAGGTAGGAAGAGTATACAAAGCTTTTTCTTTTTCATGTTCTTAAATTCTGCTAAGCATTACTCCTTACTGTATGTGTAAGTTGAGATTAAGGTTGATAAATCACTGAGGAACAGAAATGTTTAGTGAGAAATTCAGGTGGATTCTTTTTTTTTTTCCCCCATCTATTCCACATGCGTATAACTAAAGTATTACATATGGTGGAACATGAAGATTTAGATGCTTATCTCAAACTCCTACAAAAAAATTCCGGAAATTGGAAAACTGAAATGAGCTGCCTCTCCAGAACATAAACCTTGAATAATCCACAGGATGAGAGACCAATGAACCTGAAAAACTGATGAAGTATACAAAAAATATAACTGGTTTAAAAGAAAGACAAACTAAATAACCTATGCCCAGATAAAGCAAAATTTTGAGGCCAGATAGAACATGAATTTAAAATAAGTGCAATAAATATCCTGAAAGAGACAAGAAAAATGTTGGTAACATGAAATAGGATAAGGCAGTTATTAAGAAAAATAAACTGGGAATACTTGACATGAAAATATAACCACTGAAATAACTGAATAGATGGCTTTAGTAGTAGAATGAGCAGAATGGATATAGCAGAAAAACAAGTTAGTGGGATGGAAAACATGAAAGTTAAGCTATATGACAGAAATAGTGTTAATATCTATATAGGGGACTTTCAAAAGGAAAGAAAATAATAGAGATGGAACTATTTAAAGAAATAATAATCTAAAATTTCCCCAAATTAAAGATGAAAAGCCTCATACTAGAAGACATCCTTACGTGCTAATGAGAATAGATAAGAAAAACTCACACCCAGACACATTAGAGTAAAATTTAAGGATATCTTAGATCAAGAGAAAATCCTACAAACTTTCAAAGAGAAAGAACAAATCATTTGTGTAAAAAAAACAAAGATCAAATTGATATCAAGCTTTTCAACAGCAACACTAGATACAAGAAAACAATAGAGAAATATGTTCAAAGTGTTGAAGAAAAAGAACTTTAAATCTTAAGTTAATTTGAACCCAGGTGTACTTAAATATGAGAACAAGTTTAAAATATTCTCAAGTATACAAGAACTTAGAAGTTTTACTGTACAAAAACTTTTCCTCTTTGAAAATACTCTAAGAGGAAGTTCTTTATCAAGAAGAGACATAAAGCCAAGAGGCCACTATGAGAGATTTGGGAAACATAGTGAATAGATATCTTAGAAGGTTTAACTGTGGTATATAAAAGCAAGGACTCAACATTCTACAAAAATCAAAGAAAAAGGAAATGTATATTCAAAACAGTATGGAACTAATCTAAATAAAACACAATGGGAATGGGTATAGGGATCAGATAAAATGAGCATGCTAATGTATTTGTCTTGTCTTGGGAGAAAGTATAGAGACAATATAGCCTGGTATTGAACATGGTGGATTCCTAGTCAGACTTTCTAAATTGGAATCCCATTTTCATCACATACTAGCTGTGTGAGATTGAGCAAGTTACTTACCTTTCTTTGTTTTCATTTCCTCATCAAAAAATGCGGATGATAATAATAATACCTATTTCATTATATAGTTTTGAGTTGTAGACAAGTTTAATATTTGTAAAGAACTTAGAACAGTGCCTAGCATAATATATATCTATGTTTATAGTATATACATATGTTTAAATAAATATTGATAATAAGGAGATTAAGGATAAGGATCGGTTTTAGGTTAAAGAGAATAAATAGAAGATTAGCAAATAAAAGGTATAACTTTCAAATCTGCAGAAGGAAATGCTATCCATTGAATGGAGATCAGAAAGGAAAAAGAGACAAAAGGAAAACATGGTGACACAGTACTCTTGTTGTGTAATAAATTTTCTCAGATCTTAGTAGATTAAAACTATCCTCTTTTAATGCTCACAATTTATTGGGGTATGAATTTGGGAAGGGCTCAACTGGGAAGTTCTCATTAGGGTCTTCCATGTAGTTGTATCAATAGTAAGATATCACCTGAAACTGAAGTTATCTGAAGATTCAACTGGACTGGATGTTCAGTTCCCATGACAGGCAGTTATTGCTATTGATGAGCTACTCCTGATCTCCCCAGCATGATAATCTCAGTCTTCTGACAGAGCAGCTGATTTCCCCCAGAGTGGACATACTAAGAGAACCAGGTGGGAGCTGCATGGCTTAAAGCAAAGGTATATAGAAAGATAGGGGAAAAAAAGGAAAGTAGATAAAAAACATTAAAAGACATAAAAGAAAATATTGTATACTAATAAAGGGAATAATAGATAAAGAAAATAATAATGATCATGATTGTATATGGAC